TATTCCATTAATGAGCATTATCTCTGCACGAACAGCCAAATCGACTTGAGTAGAGTAGTTTGATAGTATATTTGCTCACAGTCCGATCCACTAAGCTGATATCACACTCATTTAACTAGTCCTGTGGTTCCATAGATTTCGTACAATCAAAACTGTGGTACACCATAAGACTACATTAATTAGGCCTGCCCAATCATATCCCTAGTGTGATCACATCTGTATTCAAAAGTCCATTCTAAAAACGTCTGATTTAGGGATTTTTGGTCCAGTAATCGCATGTCTAATTGACTAAAAGTGTTTAACAAGTTTAAATGAATTGTTTATACTCTGTGAGATCAGTATGAATATTAATTTCATTAATTTATGAGGTGTTTTAATGTTAGTTACTGTGTAAACTAATTTTGTAAGTCTTCATAAGGTTATATTAGTATAAGAATGCTCTTTGCATTTAATTTAAAATGTATTCAATCAGATTATGTACTGTTGTTACCTGAAAACGAATTTAATACTGAAATAAGACTTTTTGGTACTAAGCATATTTTATTATCATGAATGTTATATTACTAAGTGTAAAAGTTCATATCAAGCTACTGAATTGTTAATATCTAAGAAAAATTCTTTTAGAAATAACATTAGACATTTTTTTGAAATTATATGCTTATGAAAAAATACATGACTCCAGATTATAAAATTTCAACGTAATTAGTACATTTATGGTACATTGGTCTATCGAAGTATATTGTACACTATTTCTGACTGTCAATATAAGTAGTATATAATACCAATCAGAAGTGCAATGTATAGCAGCAGAAGACTAAGAAGATCAAGTTAAAGAAAACAGAAAATGAAATAGAAAGAAATTATGAATTGAAAAGAAGTATACAGAATATATAGTATAATTGATAGAAGATTTTCAAATGAAACGCTTCATGTATGGTTCTCATATTTTACCAAAATATTCTATTCATTACAGTAGTATATAATGAAGTTATGAAATTTTTTTAATTAACAAAACTACATTTTAAGTACTCGAATGCAAAAAGAAAAATAAACGAGATATTTTTTATAGATAAATATATGATCTATTATAGTCTTATATGGTTGAATATATTCAACAACAAAAAAAGTTATTTAATGAACTCATCACATAATTTTCTTGAATAAATCTAGTCTTGTTTATGATGTAAAATCAATTCATGATTTAATAATTAACTGTCTATTGTAATCATTCAATCGTCATTAGTTACGTGTGAATGATTAGTTAGTAGATTAAATTAAAGTATAATATAATTACAATAAGTAAATCAATCATTGTTAATATTATATCTAGTTATGTTTATAGTTGGTTCAATGAATAAATGGATAAATAGATAAGAAATTTTAAGCTTTTCTGATTTTCTTAATCAGTCATACATAAGATCATTACTTTTAAATTAAATAGATGTCTACAAATCCCTCTACTAAACAATTATAAAGTTCTTTCATAAAGGTATGGTTAAATGGTGTTAGGTGAAGACAAAATAAGATGAACATATTGAATTCTAACTCATAAGTTTGAAAATCATATATTCTTCATAAAATCTTGAAGCCCTTTTTTGAATTTGACAAGATGTGGAATTCCGCGTGTGTATTGTAATAATGTCGCAGCATGTGATGAAACATCGGTTTACTTTCCGCTTGTACTTAATACACATTAGCTAGTATTAGAAAAAAGAATACTTTCAAATATAAACTGATTTGCACAAATTCCCACAAAAAAAGATTGTTATTTTCACTGAACTATAATTTCTCCATAGTAAACTCATGAATATCATTCAATTCAAACTTATTGATTTTCCTTAGAAAACAAAGAAAGTCCTAGTTTTTCATCACATATATATTATACTACTGAAAGCTTATTAATTAAAGACTACTTTACTCTTCACATTATCTTGTAGTAAAAGTTTAATATATCACATTTAAAATTTTTTTCCGTTTTATTCTTTTATTCTCTAAATTATTTTGATTATAATGAGGAAAGATGGATAGTGTCTAGCAGAGGAATCCAGGATGCGCGTTTCGTCCTATTTGGGATTCGTCAGCTGGATATACTCGAATCTGAGTTGATGTTCACTCTGGGACTCGAAACCAGTACCATTCGATTCAAATGCCATCGCGTTATATACTTAATTACTGAGTCCTAACAGCCACATGCTTGTGCAATGGGGTGAAGTTATATTCAATATGTGTTGTTTACTCGCATCTTCTCATTGTTATTTAGGACTGAAATTGATCAGTCTCTTGTTAGCATATGTGTATCCTGTGCGGACTGTCTCGATATTGCCTGCTGGATGCCACCACTATCCATTTTTGCTTATAAAGCTTGAGACTTCAGGCAATATCAAGGCAGTCCGGATAGGGTGTACATATGCCAGTAAGACTGATCAATCGCAGTCCCAAATAACAATGAAAAGATACAAGTAGATAACATCAAGTGAATATTTTGATTACTGTTTCTCCATTTAGAACCTTAGCACTTCTTTGATACAATATAACTATTTTTAAGAGTTTATCATAATGAAAACCCAATAGAAATCATAGAAGAATAGAAGAAAGGTAAAAAACAGGTAGAATGGAAAAAGATTCAAAAAATCTGTCCAAGTTTCTGTTTACATTCACTAATAAAATATAAAGGAAAAGAATTAAACGCTTTAACTTTTCTGATTGACTAGTTTATAGATAATAACAGTCTATGGAAAACTAATTTGTTCATAGACTGATATTTAAGCATGTACGTATGAATATCTCCGATAAATAAAAATATATGTAATGTAGCAGGTGGCTAAGAAGAGGAGGCAACGGCTCAATAAGAAGTTCTATAATCGAACACCATGTGAACACAGGTCACTCAATCATGACAGACTGTGCGTTCAAAGTCATCTACAAGGTAAGTAGAAGCCTTCCTAAAACAATTAGACTGCATCTTCTTTGCATTGCCGAGGCAATAGCCATACATTTTGAAAAACGAGAATTATGTGTACAAAAGAGACTGGTACAACCTCTTCTTTTACCATGGTCTTAATGTATTTAAAAAAATTTTTCTCTTTCTTCATACTCTTGTGCTTTTACAGCCACCTGCTTCACCTTCCATCTTCCCTACAAATCTTTTAACCCAAACCGGTTTGTTTTTATTTCCACGATCATTCCGATTACATTTCATCTCTGTTTCAACATTTTATGTTATTTTATCATGCTGAGCCATCCTTAACCGATGAATATCTAAGCCATTAACTATCAAACTTTCCTTGTTTTTAAAATTTTTTCTAATAACTTTGTTTATTTAACCTCACTGTCAACATGTATAACAGAAGTTTATTATCAGTATTATTATCACCCTGTAAAAATAAGTATATATATATTTGCGATTGTACAGCTTCGAAAATGAATTTGCCGAAAAGAGAACTCTTCGCTGAACTAATCTTTCTTTCATAGAAAAATAAAACAAATACCTTGAGTAAAATCATATTATTTTTGTGTATCGCGAGGCGGGACCGTGGATGCGCACTTCTGAGGAGTCCCACAATAGGACGAAACGGCCGTCCAGTGCTTCCAGGTTTTTCATAGTGGTCCAACTTCAATTGACTCATGATGTCAACTATTAAAATTACTTTGGTATCCACAAAACACCTTCTGATGTAAAAAAATGTTTGTTTAATTCGTGATGAATATTTTCAGCTTGAATTAAGTGTAGATTAACTGTTTCATAGTAATCTTTGATAACTTTTATGAGGTTTGATAATCTTCATTGAAATTAAGTGACTTTATGTTTTAACAACAAACTATGTTTTGATACGATAAGTCTAGTTACATCAGTTCCATAGAATAACAATGCTATGCGAATCTCCCCGTGTATTAAATCATACGAAATAAATAACTTTATTTCAAATGTAATATCATACGTTTGTACGGTTCTGTTACTTCTCGACATGTCTAATTCAATTATCCTAACATTATTTAAAATCATTTTCAAATGTTCCTGTAAAATATAACGAATATGGTACTTTTTGTCTTATGTATTTTTTCATTAATATTCGCTTGTAATGTCTACATTAGGCAAATCATTGATTTTCTATCACTAGCCTTTTCTTGATCTATAGTCGCATCAAAATATCAGACGTCAGTAGCATAAAATCCTGAAAAATACTAATGAGACATCCTAATTAAAAGAATATTTTTGTTGTCTATAGTAATTCCTTCCTAATGCAACTACATTTCTTCCTTTAAAAGATGGCGTTATATCATTTTTCGGCATCTAAGAAAATAACCAATATTGATTTTTGTGCAGTTGTTAAAATTATCGGACTGATCATCGATAGGAGTAAAACTACACTGAGATCATGAAATGACAATCGCATACAAAACCTGGTTATTTATTCTTACCTATAAATTATAGAAACCTAATTTGAGCGAGATAAATTGTATAAAATACAATGGCTACCCACCATACGCAAACGTGTACTGCACAAATGTTTAGTATTTGTATTCCATATACCCAATAGATGGCCAACAGAGACTTCTAGCAAATGACTGTTTCAATACATTTAGTACGTTTATAAATTAGAAAATATAAATCCCCACTAATTCTATTCCCAGGTAAATGAAAATAGTGCTACATCCCTAGTAATAGAACGTCTGCCAAAAAAGCAAGCTGTTTATATTTGTTACTAATATGTTGCTGAATGATATCACACCGTTTATTTATTCAAGTAAAATGTTTTTTCGTTGAATCTTTATGATAGATAAACTGTATTTTAACCCAATTCAGGCAACCATTAAAAAGATTTCCTTGCTTTAAATCAAACGCAGGAAGCATAATATGATAGGAAACTAAACAAACTGCCGTAACATTATCATAACTAAGTTGTGTTTACTCAATAAAAAAATCTGGATAACATAGTTTGCAATCACCAATCAACTTCAATATTTTATTTTAATTTTACTGTGGATGTTTTGTTTTAAAGTTCCATCTGAAGCACCACAACTTGTACAAATAACCAATGAAGGTAAAGGTCAACGAATAGATATTGGTCCGTCACGGCCTGCAATTGTTGATGATGGAAGTATTATGGTTCTTGAATGTATTGCTCGTCATGGTAAACCGGGAGCATTGCTTACATGGTTTATTGACGGTGTTCAAGTAAAATTAGAATCGAATCCTGACAGTACACCTGGATCATTTATTTCTGGTTTCTCTGGTAACTTAACATTTCAACTTGAATCATCTGCTAAAATACCAAGACTGTGAGTTTACTATATTCTTACGTTGATATTTATTTTTAACTCATAAACAATATATTGATATTTTTCATCTATTTAATGGCTCTTTCATATCGTATGAGTTTTCTTCAATAATTTATCAGTAAATAAATACGTTAGTCTACGAAAGATAAAAACCTTAGGCTAACTAGCCTGTTATACGGTAATTATTGATTAAACAGCTTTGCACCATTTCATGCAATTAGTTCCCTTTATGAATCTAAAAAAGGCAGGAGAAACATGGATGTAGAATAATATGAATTCATCATATTTTGTGGTTTCTCATCAGCTGCTTACAACCAAATACGTGCTAAAATTTTACAGTTAGGTCAAATATAGTGTGAGACGATTTACATAAGTGAATGCAAAGAGTTGGAATGACAAAGGTTATCAATAATAACTACATATGGTGCAAGGAAAGGTTGGAGGTCATTTGATGTAAGAATAAAAAACATAAGGAGTGGGTGATGTAATAAGTAAGTGAAGTTCAGAGACAGAGAAGATAAATTGTGTGATAATTTTAAAAGTACTGAAGGGCTTACACAAGATTCCTGGAATAAAAAGAAGGTTAAGATGGGTTGCGTAATAACTCAACAGGATTTGAAGAGTTTACATAATTTAAGAGAATTAAGTGAATGAAAATGTATGAGTGGAGGAAAGCGTTTAATGTACGGAAAATAAGAATTCGGTAATGGAAGAGCAATATAACAAAATAAAACTAATGACTCAAAAATGAATTACTAGGGTAGTAATAAGTTTATTACTATTTGATTTTGGATACATGGATCAGGTTTGGGTTTTTTTATAGCAATTACTACAGCAAACCTAAGAGAAGCAGTGTTTCTTTGTCTACTAATAATTTTGAAAGCTTGAGGGATGTCAATGATATGCCCGGTGTCGAGTATCGTGATGAAAACCTTAAATCTAATTCCAAACCCTAACATTCAACTGTCAATCTTAATCCTAATTCCTCACACTAATATATAACTCTCATTTAACCCTGATAACCAGGTAGATATTCCAAGGTCACTTTAGCGTTGCTCAAAAGTCATCCATAAATTATAATCTTACCACAAGAGGTTATTATAAATTCCTTTCGTTTACAGAAATTGTGTAACTTGAACTCTTAAAGTCTATGACATTATGTATAGTATAGTTTAATTGTATTATTATATTAGATGATTGGAAATAGGAATCCTCAGATACATAAAATGAATAAATCGTAAATTTAGTCAAACTGATGATTTATTTTTCTCGCAAAGCCACAAATAATCGATATCAGAAAACAAATTCTCCATATTTTTCAGCTTATAAATTATCCACTAAGCATATCTCAAATGGAAAAAAAGAACGAGCTATATGATTTGTGTTGTACACCATTTTATGTAAACCTTTATACTGTTTTCTTTTTAATTTAAAAGTGACTACATATTACACTTATTGTAATTTGATTTTGTCATTTCATACAGCCTAATAGTTAAATAAGAAAAGAAAAAAAGAAATTTATATTTATATATTGTAAAAATAAGGATTCAAAGTAAATGGTTTGAAACCATAATTATAATAACCATAATAAATACGTTTCAATCTTAACATTATTTAGTCGTTTATTTTGAATTGCATTACTTTTATTATGATTCACGATCCCCCTTTTTCCCGTATCTATCTAAATTTTACTATGTAATGTATTTCAAACATTTTGTTTTTCTTAATTGTGTTGCGTTTTGAAATTTCAAGCTGTTTGTACAGGATGGAAAGTTTTCAAATAGAATTTTATTCTACGAATAACAGTGATCTTGGTTTGTGTAAATCTTGTTTTTGTTTTCTAAAATGTATTGATACTTCTTTTTCGTCGCCTATTATATCTTCCTTACTTGTTATAGACATAGTTTTACAATAAGTTTTAGTTCTATATAATGATCTAATGGATAAATAGATGGTTAAATGTTTAAATAGATAAATATATAAAACGACACTTAAATTAGTAAATATGGTGTCTAGATTGTATTCAATATCATTAATTAATGTTGATTAATTGTTAGCACTGTCTGTTATAATTGATCAATATTAATTTTATAATTAGTATGTATTTTATAAACAGACAAATACACGTGGACGAAGTGTAAAAAGGCCATGTTCTAAATTATGGTTGAAATTAAGTGTTGATTATATTATTTATAGTTTAATAAAAATTAAGTAAAACTATAGTGTTTCATTTTTATCACCATTACATTATAAACACTTTCTCTGTTGTTTTTTTTTAAATCCTGATATCTGTTTTAATTACATTTTCCATGTAAGTAATAAAACACTAAAAGATTCGGACTATGGTTAGTAGTGAAATCCAGGAAATGTTTGTCTCGTCTTCTTTGGGACTCGTTAGCTGAATACTATTTCAATATCAGTTAATTCGTCATATAACGTGATCCTTTATTATTTCTCGCTATAATTTTGTATTTGTGTTTATTAAACGTTTAAGTAGTTTAAATAAACATATTAGTAAATATTTGATTCGACCAGTTATGCTGTTTTATCAGTGTTCTAAAATAAGATAAAAGAATAATTGTTAATAAGTGTCATGTCAAATAAAAGTATTGTGATAGATCCAGAACAATGTCTACAATATATTGTATGATATTTGTTAAACTTTTCTACTCAGCATTCATTGATTCATCAGCTAATCGACGACTGTGATGAATTTTCAATAAATAACTATATATATACGCAACTACATTTATTATACATTGTAAACTGTCTTGTTTACAAACTATTCCTGTATGACATTTCATTATCCTTCAATTCTGAGAAATAAGCTATGAAAAAATTTACCTTTCAAGAGAAAATACATAGACATCCTGGAAACAGTGATTTTTAAACCATTGTTTCGGCTTAATTCAGAATTACAAGCTAGATGACTATGTAGAATTTACAGAATATTTTTCAGAAAAATCCCTATTATAATTTGACGCAAGGTGTTTCTTCGAAGTAATATCAAGTTCTACTTGAATTTTACTGATTCTTCAGTTGACGTCAATTACTGATGAACATTTCCTTTAAACAGTTTATTCTTTTAATATAAGAATCCAATTCTTACTACATAGACAGTTATTCATTCCGTATATTTAATTTTGTACTTATTTTATATATCCTTTTAGTATATATATATATATGCCTATCATTTGCAAAGAGCTGCTAATGAATCGATTGGATGGCATTTTGTAACTGTAATAAATTATGGAATTTTTATTTTTACCTAGGTGTATATATGTGCATTTACTCACATAAATTAATTAATATTATAATGTCTATAACAGCTGCTGTAACGTTTTGTGAATAGAATTTAGCTAAAATGATGGGAAAACAAAGGGAGAAGTAAATCATAGTAATTCTCAGTATCTTTAGTATCTAATTCACTCATAAATTAGATTAATAAAACCGGTTAGACTAATGATGTTTCATATTTTCACACTAATATTTAACTATCTATCCATAGTGATAGATAAATGACATAGATACCATCAAATAGGTTACCATTAATATATATATATATATATATATATATATATATATATATATATAACAGGAAAAAAGCGATTCTTGAATATAACCTTAAACTTAATTAACTTTTCGTTACTTCTAATACGTTGAAACGAACTTCATTCAAATTATTATACCTATAAATCAATCACTATTGTAAACCAATGATAAAGTAACTATTCCCTTCATTGTACATTCAGATAAAATTGAATTACAGATATAAAAGTTAGTAATAGATGTGTGTTTTTCTACATTGTAGTTGCTTGTTTTATTTCTGTTCATATATGTTCCACTTTACTACCTTTCATAATAAAATAAGAAACCTTTAAAAGCTTAAATATCTATGTAGAAGGTGTATAATATGATTTTATAACAATCAACTTCAATATGATTTGAAACTCATACAAAAATGATTTCGTTAGTCTTTGCATTCATGCCTATTGTGGAGTTACACCTGAATTATAATTTTTTTAGATATTATAATAATGATCAATTACTGAGTAAAAATTCAGTCGTTATAAATTTTTTTCAATTTTTTATCCATTCCCAGTATAGTGAGACCATATTTAGACGGAAGAATGTATTTGTAAAATCTCAAAGAATAAATTTGAAGTAAATCTAATGTTTCTCTTGACAATCTGGTTCAACCTTTTTCTAGGAAATATGATCATACATCAAGATTATAATTCCTTCATAAAGTTTGGAGCAGATTGCTAGGAGAAACGTTGGATTTACTTTAAATTCATTCTTTGAGATTCTACAAATACATTCTTCCTCCGTCATATCTCATATGAACTCGGAGTCCGAATACTGTGAAATTATTTGATCAAGTCTAAACGAAAAATCTTATACTGTAATACTATTTGTTGAATTAATCAAGTGGGATCTATCTAACTGTCAATTTAATGAACACTTCAGATTATTAAGTATATTATATAAAACAATTTAAAGAAATGTTGATTTTTGAGAAAACTGAAAATTAAAAGTTCGCCAATTCACTTATAACCTGATCCATAACTTCAGAAGCACATGAATTGATAATAATATGAATAAAGGAAGAGCAAACATCATCCGATTCATCCCTCTATATTTCAGTCGATCAGTATAATTCAATATCATGGATTTGAAACGGATGAAGCGATGTTGGTAAGCCTGAAGGTATAGCATTATTTTAAGTAGGTACTAATGAAATTTCGACTGGCGAACACGGTGATGAGAACGTTTTTGATATTTTTGATATTTTTCAACCGTGTACAACCAACATATTTTTTCAGTGGAATTTAGAATTTATAAATTTCTTCTAGGTTTTACATTTACAGTAAAAGTCATCCTTTTTGATTAATGGTTTTCGGTGTGAATCTATGAGTATGTTACTACAAACAGAATATTTAATATCATAATTACATTTTTTTGAATTATTGATCAAATTAAGGGAATAAAAATTAAAA